TCGAACACCTCGCTTTTACGCCTGAGAAAGTAAACTGGTAAGCAACACGATATTATAATATATTTTTATTCTAATAAACTTGCACGATCTTGGGTATAGAAAACATTGTAATTAATTCTTACGGTAAATATAAAGTTGAAAGGGGGAAAAAAAACAATGTCATGACCCAAATTAACGTCAACCAACTTAAATATATAGATTATTTTATAATTACGACTAAACAAACATTTGGATTAGAGATTAAATAAATTTAGTGAGATACAAATTCAAAAGATTTTGCAACTAACGAAAAGATTAATTTATATATGTTTGGAAATTAATTTATTATTACAATAAATGATTCAAATACTCAAATAACTGACTAGAGCTATCTTCTTTCAACAACTATTTTTCATAGCATTTTCTACGTACAACATTTGTTTGTATCTAATTCTCCACTATATATGGATGATCCCACTCCAGTGCCATACGATCGAGACTGGAAAACTGATAAATTTGTTCTGATTATTTAATAGATAAAAAATACTTAATTAGGTTTGACAGTCAAAATACTTGTCTCTGAAAAAGGCAGCTTGTACCTATTTTATCTACCCAAGAGATCTGACCTTTAAAATTATTATTTCGGATGGGTCAGTTTTCCGAGGTCATATATAATAAAATATGATCCAAGCATTTTGATTTTTGGATTTATTATGGGTGCGTTTGCCGATCAGGGGCTGATTGTTTGCCTAAAAAAAGAGGGAAATCAAAGAAAAGAAAACATATTTCTAAGAAAAATAGGTTTTGGGATTGTTTGGTTGGCTAATAAAAAGAAGGAAATCAAAGAAATGGAGATGTGATGTGATGAGTTATCACATTATTATAGGATGATGTGAGTGATTTTTTAAGAAAACTTGTTTTGATGTTGTTTGGTTGGCAGAAAAAAAAAAGAAAATGAATTATAAGAAACATATTTCTTGTATTAGGTTGTTTTCTTTTGTTTGGTTATTTCTTAAAAATAAGAAAATAGATGAGATGAGATGAGTTGTCATTATATTATTGGATGATGTGACCCACACTTAGGGGCTGTTTGGTTGTTGTTGGTAAAGTTGTGTATTTATGACACAACTTGGAAAGTTGTTGTCCACCTCATCAATTTTACTTTTATACTTTTCTTTGTTTGTTTTTGATTCCATTAGAATCATAAATTGCTTGTTTGGTTTGTAAATGTAACTTTAATTGTTTGTTTGGAAAGTGTAAAAAGTGGTCCCTACTCAAATGATCATATTGGTTGGAATTATTTTTTATTATTTTTTTCCTGACTTCAATGTCAGCTTTCTCCTAAAATCATGTTTTTTTTTATGAAATCACTTTACAAGCCACATCAGCATATGAAATCACTTTACACTATTTTCATAACTACAAACAAACAATTGAAAGTGATGAAAGCTGATATTGGGACCCACTTTTTTACACTTTCCATCCTTTTACATGGTAAAACATACAACCAAACAGCCTCTTAAGGAAATTGTTTTCCTAGCTTTTTGGGAGGAAAACAAAGAAATGAAATGTTAATGAGATGAGATGAGTTGTCACAATCTTATTGGATGATGTGAGTGATTTTTAAATATGAGATGAGATGAGTTGAGTGATATTGTGGATGAAAATAATATTTTATTAGATGTGGTGGATGTGATGAATGAGTTGTTGGATGAAAATAATATTTTATTAGATGTTGTGGGTGAGTTTTAGGGATGGAAATGTGTGAAATTGTACTTTTTAAGATTTCTTGGTTTTCATTTCTATTTTTTGGTTTTTTAGGAAATAACCAAACAGGCCCTCGGTCAAAAAATGGGCCAAATTTAATCCTAGCTAGTCACACTCTAAACCAGTTTAGAGGTGGGCAAAGAGGGTTGTGATTTAACACTAAATTGGTTTTATAGCTTCTTTTTAGCCTAAGAAGAGTCATTAAAAAAAACAAACCCAAAACCGTGATAGGTTTAGTACTTAAACAAGTTTTAAGAGTTTGCCAAACACACCCTATAGAAACAAAATTGATCCAATCAAGCGGGATCAAACGAGAGTACTAATTTGAAGCAAGGTTTGAAGTACCTGATAGCAACTTCAATGATTTGAGGGACTACTTTCAAAATATTAAAGATCTAAGGAGCTAATATCAGAAAAGCCCCAAAAATATTGTGTTTTCTTTAAAAACTTGTATACCTCCCAGGTATACCATATCTGCAGATTCACCTCCTAAATCTTAATATTTGCTAATTGATTTTCATACTGTTAATAATGTTCATTACGCAACAATTAATGGTAGTGATGTTTTTTATACTCTTAGTAATAATGCAATTATACAACAATTTAGAAAAGTGGAAAATCATCACGATGCTTTGTAAATGTCCTTTTCAAACTTGATGTCAGTATTCTTTTGGGATCTAGTTATATTAGTTCTGATCATACTTTTAAAGATGGGGGTGGTCGGTCATTATTTGTTCTGAACGATCATTTCATATATAATATTTAGTTCAGATTTTCGAGCTTGTGTCGAAACTCTTAATTTCTCTCAAAAAAGTATCTGAATAAAATTAATTATGATTACTAATATATTTATTTGAAGGAGAGTGCACCAAGTGTGACGCCCCAGGGTTCACACAAGGCTGCAGTCCCAGGTGAAACCCGGATTGTCAAACCTGCCAGGCACCAACCACCATGCTATGACAAGTTTCACCATCACAATCACTATCTCTCTAGTGGAAACAATAAATAGGTGAAGGTACAAACATGCAAAAATAGAAATAGAACAACACTGGATAAACACAGAAGAAGCATAAAAATATCAATAATGAGCCCAACTGGAATAAGATAAACATATCTCTGAGTCTGAACTAAATCTTAAATACAATGAGTCAAAAAAAAAAAAAACAAAGTCTTACAATAGCTCTCAACTCTATGAAATAAAATACTAATCTGGAGTCTGGAAGTAATCAACTACATGTGGAGTTCTGCGATAACTATAAAATTTAATAAATAGCTAAACGGACAACTAAAATGTCCCATCAACCTGCGACTCTTCGTGCGCCTGACTCGCTGCCTGAAAGGGAGGAAAAACAACGAGCGTCAAAGCACTAGCGAGATCATCACTACCTCTCCCTAGGGGAAGGGGTAGGAGTATATAAGAAAATAAAGTCAGTACATACATATATTAAATCATTCATATTACTCTCTATGAATAAAAAGCAATTAATTAATTATAAATACCCCAATCTCCCACACAAAGAAAAACCATCTCATCTCGAACTACGTCCGAGTGACCTGCTCTATAATAAGAGGATATCAACAATTGCTAAAATAAAATATATCTGCCGTTCATAACGGGTACATCAAAATCTCAAAGGAAATACCCTACTCGCGGGTAATCTATCATGGAAGTGAAGCTTACAGCTAATTAATTATCTATGTGTGCATCATCTTGTGCTATAGCGATACTTTTGTAATGCTCATTACTCAATTGCTCTGCGACAATAGGATTATTATTCTCCTATTCCGGATACATGCAATAACGATACAATTGTAATACTCTTACTCAATCGTATCATCGTAATAGTTTAATTCTCTCACTAATTTACGTGATACGATATAGTTAATTAACATCCTTATGCATATTTTTATATCAAATTAACTCATGTCGGAAGTGTGTAATTCTAACACAATCTAACATACATGCACCAATCTCGGTGTGCGTTCCACCTCTAAAATTCACCATCATCCCAGGTGTTTAACAGTAAATAACATCGTATAGTCTATCATCACAAGATCGAGAAATTTGATCGACAAATCAAATACAACCTTCAAAAACATCACAGCCAAAAACAGACTGCGTCGACCATGCGGTCGACCCGACGGCTCAATATTTCCTCCAGAGACTAACCCAGGTTCTTTGTCCTCACTCGGTTCGACCGCTGCCGGTACTCGACCGTGATAACTCAATTATTTCCAGATTCTCATGTTCTTTGTATATGTCGTGTTCTTGTCGTGTTTTTGTGATTCAAACATGATTAAATCTTCATAAAACTTGTATGGAAACATGCTACAATAGATATGAACATCTGGAAATAACTCAACAACAATAAACATGATTTTATGCATTAGATTTATATTCAAAATCCTAAAACATGCATAAAAGCTCAAAACAACAAATTAAACTTTTTTCTTTAGATTAACCATGTTTAAAAATCATCATCAGATCTTAATCACATCTGTAAAAACGTTCTCAACCTTTTTAGCATGGAAAGACCTAATCTTTATACATATAATACAAAAGAAATTATCTTTTATACATAATCTATTCGTTTTGGTTCTACAAAACATGTTAAAAACTCTTTAAAAACGTTTTGAAAAGTAGGAGGGGGATTAGCAGAGATGATAGATACTCGCCTTTGATTGCCGGAAAACGTGTTAGAAGCAAGGTTGAAAAAGATATCCACTCCAAAAGCCAAGAATCACCCGAAAATCTACTTGAAATCCTTCAATCTTCTCCAAGAAATCAAACTAGGGTTTGGAGGGTTTTGGTGGCTGTTAGGGTTCTTAGGAAAACTGAGAAATTTGTGAAAAACTCATATATATATCAGGGGAAAACGGATATGGGTTTAGAAATCCGAAACCAACTCAAAACAGGAGAAAAACAATCTACAGAAACAGACTGCAGGTCTTACGGTCGACCGGGCTGCGGTCGACCGTGGCGGTCGACCGGACTGGGATTTTCCAGTTTCTATGCTTTTGGCCATGTGTGCATGTTTCAACCCTATTCTCTCTCATGTATGAACTCTTTCATATTCAAAACACATGGTATTATACTCATATACCATTAAATGATATTTATCATACTAATTATCCACACATCATAATTTATCGCACATTAATTTTATTATTTATAAATTATCGGGGTTTTACACCAAGGTTCAATTCTTAGCTGCGCCATTAATTGTTTAGTCTTGAAACTTACATATTCTAACAAAGCAAGACTCAAATAGAAGAAATTAACATGAATGTAAATATATGGTAGTGAAAAACTTCAAAAAGAGAACAAAAAGGACCAAAGTTTGATGGGCCATCATGAACGTGCGAACGAACAGAATAAACCTGCTGCCTTTCGATTCCTGAGCAACGACAACGCTGAAATTTATTACAAACTTGCTTACAACATGCACTCCTGATAAAACAAAAATTTGCAGTAATTGTAAAGAGGAGCGCAGGTATATATGCTCTCTGCAGCTAATTAAACTGCAAAACTCTCGTCCTGCTGTAGTTTTGTATCCAACAGGGATTGCTTGAGATTTGCTTCAGAGGTCTTTGATGATTCATCAACTGTAAGCGGAATCCTCGAGTTGTCATCAAAATCCTTGGCTTTCCCCCAGAGAACGACGTACAATCCCACAGCCACAGCAATAGCACCAACCAAGCTGAAAAAAGTTTCAATAACATGGAGAATCTATGTTAACAACTTCTACCGTCCTCGATCTTAATTTAGTGGTTTATATCCGAATTCTAGTGGTACGTGTTCTTAGTTTTAATTATATGTAAGTAAAAGTGATTAAAAAAGTTTATACAATACGTAATTCAGTGATATCCTATGACGCCGCATGATACTACGTGGCTTTCCCACTATCAAGAACTATGTATATATCATACCATTAGGAGATCATCCTAATTAATAATATATGTTAGCGATATTGTTAATAGTCTGAACAGGAGAGTCACATAGTCATGCAAATTTGATAAAGACAAAAATGTTCAAAATATGTTGCACGTGTATCACTTGCTTAACCAACGTAATGTATATGAGCCATGATAATTTACTGGAAAAGTTTATGATATTCTGGTATTTCCATGCACAACCCCACTAATTAACCAAAAAAAGTGAAAAAGGAAAGTCAATTTAGTGTCAATTTAGTAGCATACCTCCCAAAATATAGGCGTTCATGAAATAATATGACGGCTATGACAGTAACAATAACAGTACAAAGGGGACTGAACATAGCAGAGAAAAGTGGCCCTTTTCTTGATATGCACCAAGATTGCAGATAAAAACTCACCGCGGATCCGGCAACACCCTACAAGAGTTTGATTTAATTTCCTTCAATGATTGTAGCATGTCAAAAAAAAAAAAAAATTGCGGAAGAAATTAATTAAGGAGGGGAACAAAAGAAGGAAAACGTGTATCAGCTAATAAATCTTGATTTGTTAAGTCTGTCTTATTAATGCCTTTGAAACAAGTATTTTCGCATTATAACAAGAGCTTTGCTACTGGGACCCAGAATATGGGACCAATAGGAGGGACAAGTGAGATGTCTCCCTCCTATTGGATAATGAGTTGGCCATCATTAATGATGGTCAACTCATTATCCAATAGGAGGGGGACACCTCACTTGTCCCCTCTATTGGTCCCATATTTTGGGTCCTTAAGTAATTTTTCTTATAACAATTGTAAATTACACTAATCCCCAAGAACATTGAGAGTTTTCCAGTAAACCCGCGATAACTTTCAGAATCACACTAAACTCTCAATAATTTTTGCAGAAAACCCCCGATAACTTGTGAGTAAATTACACTAGGCCCCATTAACTTTGAAAATGTCTTTTTATGTCTTCTAATTTAGGGGAGGTTATCGGCAAAATGCAGAATTTCAAAAGTTATAGTTACTGGGAGTTCACTGCAAAAAACACTAAAAGTTCATGGGGGGTTTAGCGTACGTGATTTACCACCCTTCATGAAACTAAAAGGTTTATTTTGCAAGAAACGTGCGAGTCTCTCCAGCTCTGTATATCATGCAAATGGCTCGCATGTACTAAAAGATTAATTTGCTTATTTTGCACATATAGTTATCTATATATACTTACTGAATATATGCAATATAAAAGCTGAAGACCAGAATTTGGCTTCCAAGCTTTAAAGTCTGGCTCCAAGAAATATGTCAAGATTGCTGATTGCAAGAATGACAGCAGGCACATCCAACTTGACAGAGACAATGGATCAACGTAGTTCGTACATAATGGTACCTGCGCGCCCACCAAAATTTTACAAAAAAAAAAAAAACCTTAAATTGTAATCGTAATTGATTTTACTTGTGTTTTACAGAAACCCCCCTGCGTACCTGCAAAATTAACCAAAGGGACCAGCAACAGCTACATGTTAAGAGACACAAGCTCCCTAGCTTCCAATTCTTGCCAGCAAGATGCAACATAGAGATTAGGGTACTTTGAGAGTATGCGTTCATGAGTTTTGGACCTTTGAAGAACGCCATCGAAATTGCTCCTCCAACGCAAATGACAGTTCCCAAAACTTTAGCCATGCTTCTCGGGCTCCTTATATTCACTTTCTCTAACCTGAGGGCCCCAAGTGAAAATTTCAGTTTGTCAAAGGTCCTTGTGAAAATATTAGTTATGAGGTAGAACCGTAGAAGGATTTATTTACCCAACAGATGCTGCCATCAAAAATGTAAATGCGGGGACTATGTTGGTTATTGCAGTAGCCATGGATGCTGATGACAGTTCCAACCCTTGGTAATAAAGGAATTGGCTAATGGTCACACTGCAAAATGTGAAAGAAAAAAAAAATTAGTAATGCCAATTTCAAGACAGATGATTTTGATTTAGTTTTGTTTTAAAGTTATTTTCAAAACATCATCACATAGAGGAGCTTTTGTTGACTTATAACCCATTGTCAAAGCCAAAGTGACCCCACAAAATCATATGTGTAGCCGCCATTAACTCTTGATGGGCCGAACTTAAAGTAAAGTAACCTAGAATAAGAATGTGACGACAGCAGGGTTAGCTGAGTACGTGTTCGTAGGTTAGGTTTTGAAATTCAGAAAGGATTAGCAGCACAACTTGTTGCTCGCTTGTCATCATCACATATGTAATATTTTATAAATGTTACAAAGTAAAAAGTAAAGAACCTAGAACTTATTAACTTAAATAGCCCAGTTCACCGTATATCAAAGGAGAGGCGCTACAGGCACACTCTAAGGCACACTAA